GGGGGGGGGGGGGCGCGGGGGTAGGAGTTGCAAATTTAGATTTCATTAGACTAGTTTTCAAAATTGATGAAAGAAACCATACATGTTGTGTCGAAAACATCCCAACATAGTGGGAAGGAAGTATGTTTTAAATAAAATATCCCCCGCACAAACTTGTAGATAACCAAACTTCTACCTGGGAAAGCGTAGTTCTCTAGGATAATCTGATGAATGATACCGGATCCAGGTTTCCAGAATCCAACTCCATACTTAGCTCCAGCAGTAGCTAGATCAATTTAACATTAACATTTTCATTTATACTCCTTCGTTTAATAAAAAAAATAACTTTATATCTGGATAAAATATGAATATCTAACTAAATGACGCCAAGAAATAAAAATTAAATCCTGTGTATGGATCAGAGGTTTATCAATTATTCAAAATTAATTTAAGCTTTTCCGTCTTATTTTTTAGACATATACCGCGGTATAAGAGATTTATAAGGTTAATGTTAATAAATAAAGATTACCTAAGAAATCGTAAACCTCCTTGTTAATATCCTTGGCTCTTGCCAAATCCTTGTTTCCCTCAATCTGAGCCTAGTAAATAGACAAGTTTATAGACAAAAATCTCATGCGATTTGCAAATACTAAACTGCCAGTAGTTTAGACATTGACAACTGATGATTTTCTATTTAGAAAGAAAATTAAAAATTTCGTTAGAATTTTTATTTTGTGTGGAAGACCTTATATCGAAGGTATCTATTATCTATATAATAAAACAAGACATTCGTATATATGTTCCCTTAGCCGAACAAACGGCCGGACCGATTGGGATAAAATTTTTTACGCACAATCATGGGGGGTGTTAAGGGCTAAAAAAATTCGTTTTTTTTCATTTTTTTACGAGCAACGCTGGGCCTTCAGCTAGTTTATGTAAAATAAAGTTTATGGGCACTTCGCACCACCTTTCATGTTCAAAATATGAGCTTTTAACTGTTGCTCTGAAATTTATAATCTTTCTAAAATTTTGACGTTTTTTGGACATAAACAGACAAACAAAAAGTATATATTTACACAAACGCATTTTTATGTAGGATACGTATTTTCCAGTTACAATGATATGATAATGTTTTCTTGGATAATCTTAAGTACTTCAATATGTTTTCTACTAGCCTTGGTGCCCGGCGTTCCCCGTGTTAACCCCGAGGTACCCATGGGTTCCATAAAAAAAATGTCAGCCAAATTGGTTCAGCCGTTTGGCCAGCTAAAGCTAATATATATATACCAACAAATATATGAGCGAAGAGCTTTATTATATAGATTATCCGATTCCATCTCTGACAAGAAAAGGAGTGAATAAAACATACTTTTTCACAAATCTCCTTTCAAGAAAAATCATTTCAGATTAAGAACCATTTGATACCATAAATAATGCTGCATGTTCAATGTTAATTGTTTAACCAATCGAAACAAGTAAAAGCATCTTCATACCTGGATAAGATGGTCACAGTGAATGGTAGAAGGAACAGCAACCTAATATTTTAATTTATCAATATTGTTAGATTTGAATAAATTTAGTTAATAGTCAACTATTATTAAAAATAATCTTCAAGAAAATTTAAGGAATCAATTTCTCCGAAAAATGTTAATTTCTAGAAAATTTTGTTCTGAAAAGGCGTTAACCAAGCTACGAATTTTTACGAAAAGATAAAATAATTATGTTCATAATCTAACATGATTCTGCCAGACAAGGAAAAGTAGTTCCAGATTTATATTTCAATAACAAAAATTAATCAAGACAGAAAATATTTTTTGAATTAATAAATAAAATTTTCCTTTGGTAGACCACTGGAGATAAACTGAAGCATGGCCATCTGAGCAGTAGCATCCTAATACAGAATAACATTAACTAAATGCACCCACTGAATATACTATTCAACTGATTTAGATCTAAAACTAACAGAGGCTGTTTATTTTTAAGTTGATAAGAAGATAAGCTATTAAGCCGTTGCAAGCATCTTTAAGGCATTAGAACGAGCTAAGCTAGTTGGATGAAAGAAATATTTGGAACCACGAATCCAAGGGACAAAATAACAATAAGAGATTAATAAAAACTTCCAAATCTCTTCATGGTTCATAAAGTTTCGGCGAAGTGAAAAAAGAAAAAAAAATTAGATTTTTTAAATCAGTAAATCCAGGAGATAATGTTCAGGTCGTGGATCCAAATCCATTTTTTAATAAAAAGACACAAACCCGGACAAAGGAGGCTACGTTGCGTATTCACTTCATATCTACCAGAAGTTTAATCTTTGAGTACACGTAAAAAGTCATAAGAAATAGGCTCCAGAACCCCCCCCCCTGATGTGTGAAATATACTGTATACAATCTATCTGGTTAACTACCTGCATGGCAACCCTGTCAGGCCTGAGCCTAAGGTAGGATTCTCCTCTAACAATATCCTGATTGGCGGGGTCATCAAGATGAGAGTACAAAACCTAAACAAAAACGTTTAAATAACTCTTGACACTTTTAAGATAAACCATCAAGTGTTTAAGGTAAAATAAAACTTTAAATATTCAAGTAGTTCAATTAGCCATACGCAATTAAACTAATAATTGGATCACTTTTTATTAAATTCGACCTAAAGTCAATTGATTGATTGATTAAAACTTATTATTTTTTGCATTAGGGCCGGGATGAGCACCTAGTATTAAGTTCTCAGGTCATCTTATTTTCAACTTAAAAGATCAGGCTATTATCAATTTATTTACCTTCTCTGAAAGAGTGAGAGGCCTATTTAACCTACCCTTCACAACCTCCAGATTCTTTACCAACCTAGATAGAGTACGTAAAAATCATAAAGAGTTAAAATCTGAAGTTTTAATCAGTACAATGCTTAGGTTACATTTTATTTTCATGCGGATCCTAAATCCACCCTGGAAAAAATGGATCCGGACACGGATCTAGATCGTGAATGTTTCTCGAGATTTACAGATTTTCAATATATAAGAAAAATTTTACGTGAACAGATTTATGCTTAAACTTGATGAAACGTTCAGAGATAAAGAACTTTTTATTTATCTCTCTCTTCTCAACATTTAAAATTTATGTTTTAAGATCAAAAAGTGTTTTTTTTACATTTATTAATTGATTTTTTGCCCATTGATCCAGGAAGTCAACTCGGACTTAAAGCACTTACTCAGCTGAACCCGCGATTTGAAAGCTTTGACTCGAGCCGTTATTTCTTAAACCCAGTTTTAAACCCGAATCTTAGACCCAAGTCTGACTGACGACATATTGTGTCACGTGATTAACAGCTTCAAGATCTTAAGACTTGAGGAGTTAGGCCCAATGAAAATAAAACCGACCTTGGTTGGCCTTAGTGGAGAATAAGGCTCAATGTTGAGTCTAGTTATCATAAAAACCCGGAATGCGCCAATCCCACTACGAAAATCCACCAATACAATATTAAGCCGGTTTTATGAACTCAACTCTGTGGAAAATTGGATGCAACTTACAACTCTAGCCGTGAATAAGTCCCAATGACAGCTTAGATCTAAGTCATATTTTCTTGAATTTTATAAATCGCCGGCTCATAATCATAAACATAATCTCGTAACAAAGCATAATAAAATTGCAATAAAATTCCAATTAAAATGTTGGCGAAAATTGTTGCACTTTAAAATAGCTTAGAACGTAGAAAACAGTTCATTCATGTGAAGGCCAATTAAATGAACTTAATATTAATAGCTAGAATGCATTGAAAAAATAACCAAGTGGGTCTGTCCTAGTGAACGTGTAACATAAACGAGTTTAAACAGCTTACTTCTCGTAAGGCAACTCCGACGTCTTGTCGAACTTTGACATTGCGACACAAGCTATCTTTGTTGTGTGGAGACATCTTGCTTCTCCAACCAGTCTCAAGGTTGACACCTAGAAAATAACAAGAATAAAATTCACCTACAGAATGTGAGTTTGTGGAGGACTAAATTCCAAAGCCTTTCAAGAAAGTGCCAAAAAGCACATAAGACGAGATTTCAACGGACACAAACTGACAAAACATTCTTATCTGGATGCGCTGTTGTCAAGTGCTATATAACACACAAAAAGAGCAAATTTTAATATTTTTACTTAAAGGAAATATAGTTAACTATATCATTATCAATAATTAACCAAATTAAGACAAGAAACAACAAGAAAAATAACAATTTTTACGACCTTTTTGGTGAGGATCTGAGTGATGGTGGCCATTTTGACCGACTGATGATTGAAGAACAATCAGCTGATGAGTGCGCAAACGTAATGCCGCAATATTAAATGGTTGTCAGCTGACATATTGCTTTCCGTGGATTTCTCATCGTCTTCATACTTTCGCAAATTTCAATAATATTTATTTATTTGTATTATTTCCATGAAAAAACTCAGTGGCGTAAATAAGGGGGGTTATTGGGGTTATTTACCCCCCCCCTAGAATCTTTGAGATAATAACCCCTGAACTATTCAGGCCCTAATAGAGAGTTGTTACTTTAAGCTTAAGTTTTTAAAAAAATGTTGATTTTAAAATTGAATCTGTGAAATTTGCGAGAAAATAATTTAAAGTTTTTCATTTTTTCCTGCATCATATAGAATCATTTCATATCTAAGGCCCCCTATGCCGATGCGTACACCCAGGGGGGGGGGGGTGAGGCCCGTACGCCCCTTGTTTCAGGGCATTTTAAAAAGTTTTTTTTTAGACCGATATAAATGAAAAATGGTTAAAAATCCTAAGTTTCAGACAATTCTTCTGATTAAATTTTTTTTCTTGCGGCAATATTTTTTTCATTTTTTTGCACACGAATAATCAATATTTATAATGCAAAAATTGTAAAAAAATATTTAAAAATACAAAAATTGTTATCTATAAGCATCAAAAGACAATTGTCATGTTTTTTTGGAAATTTTGGTCTGACCAATATATGTATAGATAAAAACAATATGCCAATTGTTTGTTTTTACAACAATTTGGTGCAGAATAAACAAGAAAAAATTGAGTCTGGAGAACTACATCGAAATATGCAGCTTTATTTGTATTAATTAACAGAAAATAGGGAAATAAATAACCATACAAATTTCTAGTCCCATTTGAGATAATATTTATTTTTATTTTTTACTCCAATTAATTGTCAGAAAAAAAATTGAATTTCTCTACTGAATAATTGGCGAAGAAATATAAATTTACTAAATATTACAAAATTGTGTTCCAAATTTGGTCGTCCGTAATCAAGCTTTTGAAATATTTTTTAAACTTTTTAAATCATTCAATGTTGAATAGAAGAGAAATTTAAATATAAATAAAAAAAGTTATTCAGAAAATTGTAACATATGATGTTATAACGTAAGCAAAATGTCTGCCCCTTATACGTGGTTTTGACTATATATGATTGATTTACGGATATATCAGCCCTGTATATTTACGGGATAGTAATTTTGAAACCAAATTACACTTCATTTTAGAACATTGAAATTTAAAGTTTTGAAGGTCCAACCTTCCCCGGACCGGGGTCATGAGTTGCCATACACAAACTTGGGCCCAATGGGTTTAACTGTTAAGACGTTTATTTGACACGAACAGGAAATCTCATTATCTCATTATCAATGCAATCTTTATTATTTAGCTAAACTACTAATTCAATGAGTTTCTTGCAATTTGAAGCACATTTCAACGTCCAAACCCCACAAATCAATCATATGATCCCAGCCTAAATATTTAATAACATTAATCTTATATTGTAATTTCAACATATATTTCATAAACTATTTATACATTTTTAACATATTTATTAAATCTTTAAAAACTTCAGTAAACGTTATTTTTAACAATCTTAGATAATACTTTAATTTTGATTTATACCCGCGTGATATAAAAAGCGCGCATTGAATGATAAAAGATAAAAAAAATGTGCCAGGGTGGAAAGCGGGATTTGGAAGAATAAAATTGACGTAAATACTTTCAGAATGTCTTTCCTGGGTTACAATTATAACCACTTTAAAGTCTAGAACAGAAAGGTAGCGTGGTCTAGTGAGATAAATGGTTTAGATAAGTTTTTTTTTTATCGAAGGTCGGCGTGAACATTAAGGAAGATCGTTTTTTAAAGAATTTTTCATATCTAAATGGCTTCAACCGGACTTGTATGGAGCATAAAAATATGAACTTCGAGAAAAAAAATTCTGAAAAATCAATAAGAGTAGTACAAATTTGACCTTTTAAGAGAACATTTTAAAAAAACTACTATTGAAAAAAATTTCTTCAGAACATGCTTTAAGGGAATCTGAAGATCCGCCAAAGGCCGCTGATTACGGTACAATTTATAGTTTGGAATTTTCATAATCGACCTCCCTTACTGTACAGTGTACATTGTGCACATTAGAGTACATAGAAGAACAAGACAAATATTTTATATGTATATAATCTACGAAACTATGCGAGCCATTTAAGCTAGTTATAACTTTTTATTAAAGGAGTAAAATATTTTAAACATCTAAGTCTCCTATTCTGACAATATAATATTGAGCAGCTTAAAAACCAGCTTTTTTGAAGGAAGACTTAAAAGAAAATTTAAAAATTAAAGGAGTACATGTAAATTACATTTTTAAAGAAATGTAGTGAGTGACGTCAGAGGGGATAGAAGGGTACAATTTTAAAAATAAAAATATTATGCACTATTTTCTTTTTTGAGCATCATTATTGGAATAAGCATTTTTCTTTCAATTTTGAATATTTACAATTTTTTACACTGCGTATATGGGGCTGTATGTACTGATGGCCGATGGGTATCGTTTTGAGATCTGTTTTCAACATTATAATGGTTTACGTGTGATCTATAAGATTCTGGGATGTTACACAAATATTTGGCTAAATCCAACTTTAGTTAACTTTGTTTTTTATTATTATGCAAAAGATTTTCTCTGAACAAAGATATTATTTAAAATGATATTTATTTACGATTTATCAATAAAGAAAAGTAAAAAAAGCACTCATCAAAATTACTATTCTGAAAAAATGTTTAAGATTCTTTTTATCGCCTCTCTGAAATGTGAAAAACCTTAAATCTATAAAAACAGGACACTAAACGATACCCAAGTGTAAGCCAAATAAGGTTGGTTGACCTTATTTACAAAGATATTTCAGAGATTTAAGCATCAGATCTTTACAATAATATCAAGACAAGGTAACATTGGTGAGAAAATCCAAAAACGTAACACTAAATAGAATTGAAAAATTAAGAGAAACGATTTTTTCTTTTGAAGTTGTTTTGGGTTTTAGAGATTTAAAAATTTTGTATTGAATGACATTTGGAGAAAATTACTTACTGTTGCTGTATATTTAGAAGGTTACAGAACTACATATCACTGTTTTTAAACTTGAGTTAAATGTCGGGAGAGAAAGACCGTTTTTATGAATCGGTGCATTTTATCTACAGCTAATTACTTGATCCAATAGGAACTCTGAGAGGGTGTGTCACCATCTTTAAAAACAAATTGTAAAAGGTTTGTGAGTAGGCTGTACTTACAATCGTAAAAAAAAGTTCAGGTCTGGAATGGTTAGAGTAAATGTTCATAATTCACGAGAGCATTAAATGTTGATTCCACACGACACGTAAATGACGTTACTAAAAGTAAGTACTAAGAAATTGGCCTCCCTACATTGGAAGCAATGTTATCTAAAAATCACCAAATTAGTCCATCTGGTCTATTCTTTCTCGACCAGCATGGTCCAATCGAACGTTGCGACTGACGTATGTGTAAGGGCAGGGAAAGGTGGAGCGACCAACTTCCACTCCCTTGGAGGCGGAGCCGGAGTTCTTATGGTGGACCGAGACATCAGCGAGACGCTGGAAACACCCCCCGGAGAGGAACGCCCTCCGTACCTTGAAGGTGTGGGGCTGCTGTGCCCGTACATAAGTTCCTCCTCGTCGTTTACCACTTCCTCAACCACTGCCACACTGCAGTACGGTACCTGCAAGAATATTATATTACCGTCCTAATCGGAAAGGGCCGGAATTAATTGACAATTTATCAGATTACTCTACTTTGAAATAGTTTACTGCATTCATTTGTCAATATAATTTTACAAATCTGATTAATCAGAGATGAAGAAACGATAATCACAAAATAGCCCAAGTCCTGCCATTTCCAAACTGTGGTCTGCCTTTTTTGTGCTTTTAATATTTCCGGAGAAGTGTATGACCTCATTAAAATTCAGAAATTTTCGTTTTATCAAATAAAATGAAATCTAACCAAAATTCTTAATTCATGTATTTTAGCAAAATTTGTTGCTCATAACAAGCTCATCAAAGGGACATTGGACAATATAAAATCCACCGCCCCGCCCCCCCATTTAAGCGACTGTGGACATAATTCAAAGTTACCCTCCATTTAAAGAGGGCCATGCCCGATGGTACCAATTAATTTATTAAACCTTTATCTGACCAATTATATAGAAGCTATGGCCATTCTTCCATTTTCAAGTGTGTAATTCATACAATTTTTTCAAACATTTTTGTAGACTTTTATAGAGAAACCATACGTAAAAATAACCAATCTTTTAAAGAGAAATAATGGATGTCTCATTCATTCTGCATCAGACTTAGCTTTTACTGTTTAGTGCGGTGCATCGGACATACCGCTCTATAAATGGAGGCTTATTTAAAATTACTTCTCCAGTCCCTTGAATACCCGTCACTATCAAGCATGGGTGTATATTTTCCTAAAAAATAAGTTCCCCCCCCTCCCCTCTCATTTTAGAAAATCATTAATTTTCCCCAGAAGTTCTGTATGAATTTTTTAGATGTTTCTCGCTGAATTTGAGAAAATATATGATTTTTTGGGTAAAATGTTTCAAAAAATGAAACAACTTGCCTTGTGATTTCCCATTTTTAATTTTTCTCCCATTCATCAAACCCCCCCCCCCNTTGTAGCTAGCATCTAGAGTATTAACTAATATACGCCTTGTAGCTTGCATCTAGAGTATTAACTAATATACGCCTTGAAGCTGGCATCTAGAGTATAAACACATTTGTTGAAAATCAAATAAATTTCAAATAACCTTCCATGCTCGATTCACAACGGTGCCATATCAATCTTTATCTTAAAATGTGTGGAAAGTGTGTCTCTGCTTCGTGAAATCCGCAAGTCACTGGGAAAACCAAAATTACAGGGGGCATTAGTTCCAAAACTAACACTTGGCCCTTTTCTAACACTGTGTCTGCTTCAAATAGTATCTATGTCAATAAAATCTGCCACAAAAAAATATCATAGTCCCTAATTTCTGACACAAATAGTATATAGGTCCATAATATCCATCACAAAAGATCTGGATCCGGTCATAAACATTCCAGTGCGGATCCAGAATCCGGATCCGGATCAAAGTTAAAAGGATCCTAACCAATGTATTCGACACTTACCAATATTGAACCCGGCCTCAAGCAGTTCTTCTTCGGTCATCCAATCCGGCATTCCGTCCTAAAAATACAAATCGGTTATAATCCAGTTACAGTTCTCATAATCTATCTACTAAAGTTTTTATCTCATATAAAGCCAACCAAACGGCTGGACCGATTGGGTTGACATTTTTGTGCAAAGCAAAGCCAAGACCTTTTCAACCAGTATTATCTACACTTGCGTCCCTGTTTGGCATTTAGAGCCTGGATTAATAGCTTGGTTTGATAGCTACATAGATTAAGCCCAGTGATACTGGCATTGATAGTTAGCGGGATTGTAACTGTGTAGATCATATACTGGTTAAGTTTTATAGCGGACGGGTTGGACCTGGATAGATATGTTTCGAGAAATTTTTATGGAGTAGGTGTTTACTACNATCAATCCACCAATCCATCAATCCATCAATCCATCAATCCATCAATCCATCAATCTATCAATCGATCTAACTACCCATCTATCCATCAATCCATCAAACCATCAATCCATCAATCTATCAATCCATTAATCTATTAATCTATTGACCTATTAATCCATCCATCAATCCATCTATCCATCAATCCATCAATCCATCAATCAATCAATCCATCTATCCATCAATCCATCAGTTGAATAAATTGATAAATTACCAATTGAATAATTCCTGAATACCTGAAAGTTCCCTACAGCAGTAAGAGGGCAGTCTCTACTAAACCCATCAGGACCTTTCCTCCTTTGTGGAACACTCTCTGTAAGAATTAAGTTTTAAAATTTGAATAACTACTTCTTCTTCTGGTATTTACGAGTTAACATTTTTAAAATATCAATTTTTCAAGTAAATTTTTTGAAGGAAAATTATTTTCGAGAATAGTAGGAATACAATTTTTTGGGGGAATAATCTTCAGACAAAACTTTAAAATATTTGGATAATAAACTGTGATCCAAGATTTACCTGGCATATTTAAATCCTTTCTCTGATAGGAACCGTCCTGAGTAAAGGAGTAGGGAATCCAAGATCCGAAGGTAAAATCTACTCTCTCTCCATGCCTTAAAAGTATTATTATCAATATATCACATCCTTCATTTGGGGCCTCATATACAACATGTAAAATCTGTGCTAAGATGACCCACAATGTGATGGTTGGCTACTAGCGCGCCGGTCAGAATGAGCCAATGTATATTTTGACCTCAGAAATGAATTCCTCGCGCTCAATTACCTATAAATAGACAGACAAACAACATGAAAAATCTATGCTAAGATGACCCATTTTGTAATGGTTGGCTCCTAGCGCGCTGGTAAGAATGCGCCAATGTATATTTCCAAAGCGCAGCGAGGGATGTTTTGTAGACAAAATTGGTCGAGGGAACCCGTGGTTAAGTAAAATTTGTAATTTCCCGAAAAAGTAGTTATACACAATTTTATCGTCTTTTGAGATGAAATTGCGCAAATTTTTTCACAAAAACTTCCCAGAGCGGGTCGTTATTTTACTTCATTGTCCCAAGGGACGTAAAGTAACTTAACGTCCCATAGGTCGGAAATGATGCTCATAGGCGGTAAAATACATAAATACAACTAACCAAGCCTGGACAATAAGTGGGGGTTATCAAGATAAATGTATTTAGATTTTGAACGATATATATGTTTGAAAAGATTTGATAAAATTGGACAAGATTTAGTGTAAAGCAAGTAAATAGAATTTTCTCAGAAAATGACTTTTGGAATGAATAACGAGTCTAAGAAGTAACTCATGCAAATATATATGGAGCAGAATTCATATATATATTTATATATATATGGAGCAGAATTTGAGCATAGATTTATATTATGAAGGATAATCCAAAACGCCGAGAAATTGAAGAGCATTAAACCAAGATACTGATTTTAAGAATATTTTACCTGGCAATAAATAGCTTCCTAGGACCATATGCTATGTATATTTTGACCTCAGAAATGAATTCCTCGCGCTCAATTACCTATAAATAGACAGACAAACAACATGAAAAATCTATGCTAAGATGACCCATATTGTAATGGTTGGCTCCTAGCGCGCTGGTAAGAATGCTCCAATGTATATTTTCAAAGCGCAGCGAGGGATGTTTTGTAGACAAAATTGGTCTAGGGAACCCGTGGTTAAGTAAAATTTTTAATTTTCAGAAAAAGTAGTTATACACAATTTTATCGTCTTTTGAGATGAAATTGCGCAAATTCATCTCGGTCGGTTATGATTATCAAGATACATGTATTTAGATTTTGAACGGTATATATGTTTAAAAAGATTTGATAAAATCGGACAAGATTTAGTGTAAAGCAAGTAAATAGAATTTTCTCAGAAATTATTTGTAATTCATATATATATGGAGCAGAATCCAAAACGCCGAGAAATTGAAGAGCATTAAACCAAGATACTGATTTTAAGAATATTTTACCTGGCAATAAATAGCTTCCTAGGACCATATGCAAGTGTTGGAGTAGTACTGCTTACTTCATCATCACCTACAAATCATAACAACTAGTTAAGGTTAAAAATGTTTTTTTAAATCAATGTTTCTCTCAACTTTTTTGTGAATTAGGTATTTTTTATGAGAAGTTACACAAGAAAAAAATAATGCAAGTTGGTCGTATTTTAAAATGTTCTAATTCTTTTATTCCATGGAGGAGGAATACACCATTTGACAAAAAAAAATTGATTCTTTTCAAACTTAAAATTCTAGTTATTTAAGTTTTGTTAGCGAACATGCTATCTAAACTTTCAATTTTAAATCTACGTCAAAAACTTTGATACATTTTGAAATCTCATAAAATTTGCAATAACTTTGCAAAAAAATTCAAATATTCCGCAAAATTTTGACACTTCCCCCCCACACAAAAAAAAATCTCAAAAACCACGTCGGACCCCAAATTTCAATACCAAGTCTTCGATTTCTGAAAACAAATATATGCATTGGTTGAACCCATTTAACAAGATAGAAAGTTTATCTCCATGCATTGAGGATCTTAAAGGGGTCAAAATTCAAAAATCCAATTTTGAGACCCAAAATTTTGAAAAAAGTGTTATTTTCTCAACTATATCAATATGGGTATAATTTTTAGCACAATTAAACAAGGATTGCCAAAATGATTGAACCGAAAATGATTTTTTTCTCTAAAATGGAGCATGATTTTTTTTAAACCACATAATTTATAGAAAAAATTAAACATGGCTATCATTCTACCTCAGTTTAACAAGGAATATCTTAGTCATTTATTCAATTATTTCTGATACATTACATTTAGATGATATTTGTACGTAAATATATCTAGGAATTATAGAATGACAGAATGTTGTTTTAAAAAGTTGGTAGGGTTTGTTTATAACATATTTTAAAACTGTAAATATTACAGAAATATCACAAAATTGGTTAAGATTTGTAATGAAATTAAATCTATAATTTCTTGATAATATCATTATCCATTGAAGATATCCTTTTGACTTGGATGCTCTTATGGTTTCTTAATATCGGAATAAAAGCATGAAGTTTACAAGTTCCAGATATAGTTTTAGAATTTGCAAATCGATCATGCAGTGAAACATGAATCTTTGGTTTGTCAAAAAAGAACACTTGCATATTGGGCCGATTATCGTTTGCCCCCCAAAAAAATCTTTAGCTGTTAAGATCATGCCGCTATAGGGCTGTTGCAAACTGTAGTATGCTGCTTCCCTCTTTATAGTTTCACCAATTCCATCATATAGGGTCCTTTACAGTGTGATGTGGCAAAAAAAATACCACTGAGCTTCTATGCCAGAATCTTCGTAATGATGTGCTAGATTAATACAGGAATTGATGGTACCTTCTGTATCTATTAGGAATATCAAGAAAAAAGCCCCCCCTAGTTGGGGAACCCAGGCCCTGTATTTGAATGTTCTACCGTATCTGAATATTCTACCTGGCCCTGTATTTAAATGTTCTACCGTATCTGAATATTCTACCTGGCCCTGTATTTGAATATTCTACCGTATCTGAATATTCTACCTGGCCCTGTATTTGAATGTTCTACCGTATCTGAATATTCTACCTGGCCCTGTATTTGAATGTTCTACCGTATCTGAATATTCTACCTGGCCCTGTATTTAAATGTTCTACCGTATCTGAATATTCTACCGTATCTGAATATTCTACATGATCCTGTATTTAAATGTTCTATTGTATCTAAATATTCTACATGTATCTGAATGTTCTACCTGTATCTGAATATTCTACCTGTATAGTATCTGAATATTCTACCTGTATCTGAATATTCTACCTGGACCTGTATTTAAATGTTCTACCGTATCTGAATATTCTACCTGGCCCTATATTTGAATGTTCTACCGTATCTGAATATTCTACCTGGCCCTGTATTTGAATGTTCTACTATATCTGAATATTCTACCTGGCCCTGTATTTAAATGTTCTACCGTATCTGAATATTCTACATGGTCCTGTATTTAAATGTTCTTCTGTATCTGAATATTCTACATGTATCTGAATATTCTACCTATATCTGAATATTCTACCTTTATCTGAATATTTTACCTGTATCTGAATATTCTACCTGTATCTGAATATTCTACCTGTATCTGAATATTCCACCTGTATCTGAATATTCTACCTGTATCTGAATATCCTACCTGTATCTGAATGTGATGATGCTTCCTGGGAAGAATCACAAACTCCTGCAGGGGATTCACGACCAGGCTTACACACCTGCAGTAAGGTAAATGACAATGAAGAGACGGGAGGAAGGTAGTCTTTCTTCTTTGAAAAAAAAATCACAACAGTTGTTTTTTAACTGACTTAAAAAAGTAGGATTCTTGAAACTATGATTTCAAAATTTCGCTGCTGATGGCATTTCTAAAATGCAGAAAGGCTTTTTTTGGTTTTTAAAAATTACAAAAGAAATATAGCATTACCTTCCAAATTCAATTTGTTAATTTATACAAAAATTGACAAAATCTGAACAAAATTCACAATTCTCCGGAAATTAAAATTTGAAAAGCATGATACAGAGTAGATTTTTATTCCATGCAATGCAGGAAAATTATTTAGGATTACTGAAATTTCTTGATTATAAATATTTAAAGACAAAAGATGTCTTACCTTTGCATAAATATTCTCTAATTCTACATCAACCGTTCTTGAATCACATTCTTGAGCAAGGACAAGACGGTCAACTGAGCTGGAGATGTTTTCATCCCTACTCTCAGTTACAGCCTTAAGGTCACCTGGACATTGGAGTAAAGTTAACAAGTATTGAAAGGGAGTGACTGGCTAGACATGGTAGTTGAGCTGAAAGTGCAGTATTGTAGAGAAAAAAACTTACGGATTCATTTCATACCAAGGAGACATTTTTGCGGTGAACAATTTTAAAATAAGAGCATAAAGTCGTCTGTAATATTTCACCAGTTTTTTCAGTCATCAGAAGACACGTTTTGTTACAATTATTAAAAATGTCTCAGTGGTATCAAATGAAAAGTTTTGCTCTGTATTACTGCACGTTCAGCTCAACTACCATGTCCAGTCGGTCTCTCCCTTTTATCTTTTTAAAAGAATAAAACATTTTTTAGACCATTATTAAATAAATTGATATTTTGGCAAAATTTTCACAAGACGAAACCAATGCTTAGGCCTGGATTCCACTTATTTCCGCGTTTTCTCGCAGATCCGGAACCAGGAAGTGAAAATGTTTTGGATCTAATGGATCCGGATCCTAAGCATCAGATGAAAAATTATGTATTGTAGCGACCAGAAATCGTCTTTTATATGGAAAGAGGAAATGCAGGAACAAGAAAACATAAATCTGCAACCCAGTAGGAAGTAGTTTTTAAACTTGTATTGTATAGAGATGTGCTCTATATTTATATAAATAAATATATTTCTTAAACTTTTCTGAGCTGTGTTAGAAATATACTTGGGGAGTTCAATATAATTTAATAATTGGATTTTCTGTTACCGGGTATTAAAGGAAGCAAGGAGTGAAGAGTCCATACATTTGTTTCAGCCGTTCTCTCCACATAATTAGTTGGTAGATATCCAGTACTTCCTGTCAACCAGGATATACCTATCACCCACCTAGTTCATATATATACATTAGGGGTGTGAAATTTAGTGAAACTTTTCTAAAATCAATTTACAGAAGCAAAATAGTATTCCACTTGGAATTCTAAGGCATGTTTATGAAATACATTTTTCACAAAATTCAAAAATGTGCCCCTCAAATGGGGTTTAATGATAAAAAATTACTAGAGTAATTTATATGTATTAACTACTTCGTTGTCGGACCCATTATAAAAAAATAACAAAAAGAATAGAACCTTCGATTGTTTTCTTTTTAATGTCTGAATGGTTTAAGTACTGTAACGTTTATTTATTTAATGATCTTGAAAATGTTTACCCATCAAAGGTTTTAGTCATCTCCTCCGCAGATACAAAAATAAAATCTCCAATTACAAGTTCTAGTTCATCTGGTTCTCGCGGAACATGCGCGTACAACACCTTCATGAAAATACTTATTTTTAAAATCTTAAATAATTAAATAGTTCAAATCTGAATTTTTAAAACAAAAACACAAAAACATTTCAGCAAAAAAAATCTTAAATAGCCCATTTTTCTAAACATTTATATATATATTTTTAGGTGTTTTTGTCCATTATGATAATTCACATTATAATAAGGATAATTTAATGCAATTGATATGATCGAATTGGACTCCTCCGATCAAATATTTCATATAGCAGGGGTATATATTTTATTCTACCTTATATACATCAGATCCTGCGGTTTTATTGTCATAGGAATATAATCGGAGTTGCCAACCAGAGTCTGCAGTAGGAGATATATTTTCAGCTAGCTCCTCCAAACCTAGAGAATTAGAATATAATCTAGTCTGCAGTAGGAGATATATCTTCAGCTGGTTCCTCCAAACCTAGTGATAAAGAATATATTCTAGTCTGCAGTAGGAGATATATTTTCAGCTAGCTCCTCCAAACCTAGAGATATAGAATACAATCTTTTCTGCATTAGGAGATATATTTTCAGCTAGCTCCTCCAAACCTAGAGATAAAGAATATAATCTAGTCTGCAGTAGGAGATATATCTTCAGCTTGCTCCTCTAAACCTAGAGATATAGAATATACTGCTGAATAAAGCTCACAGACTATAGGATGGCCATTCTAGGTAATTAAAATAAGAGAGCAACAACTGAAAGGGTTAATAATAGTAGAATTTCAATATAAATTCATAAAGTTAAAAGCCAAAAGGTTTTGTGCCGGGATGCTAGATGGGTCGATCTGCTGAACAATCCAGAGATGATTTCAAGGATCGACATAGCGAGGAAAGCTGAAGCGAGAAATTACCCCAGAAGAAATTCTGCGTCGGATCATTTTTCGAAATGTTTCCCGTTAAAACCATTAAAAAACTGCAAAATACAATCAATACGTACTCAGTACTGAGCAAAATATAGGTTTCACGGAAGGGGATTGTATTTTAAGAAAAGTATTCCCTTTACCTGAAAAATGTGCAGGTTGGAACTGGTAGGCCAGGGTTAAATGATAAGATTTAAGAATAGGATCAGCTTTCAATTCAAGCAGTCTAATCTCCTCGCAGAGCTCGGTCGACAGCTGTTTCAAGATTAACTCGTCTTCCTAAAATATAACAAAAATTGACCTGCAGTTTTTAGGATTTTTTGGTAATTTTTTCGAAGAAACAAAACATAAAACTTTAGCTAGACTTGTTGCCCCGATTTAATAACTTGATGATAGCTTCCCCATATTTAAAGCAGTAATAAATATTGCACTAAAAATTTAACTATTTCAGGATTTTATCCTTCTTATCCTAATTCTAAACACATACATGAAAATTATATTTGTTGCTTTAATCGTATTCAGGCATGCTTTACGTAACAAGAAGATTCATTGTCTTTAATTTTTGTATTTTCGATTTAACAGAATAATTTGAACTGATAAAATAAAATTATAAAATCATAGACAATTTAAAAACAAAGGAAGCTAAAACATTATTAGCAAGTTCTTTATTTCTGAACAGTTGGTTTTCACGAGCAAATGCTCAATGACTTTAAAAGAAGTGATCAGTCAGGCTAGGTCTAGGTGAGCTGTTAGCGTACCATTTTACAATAAAATATAAGGATTCGCATAATAAGAACGAAAAAAAACATTGATACACTGTTTACCCGATATATTCGTTGGAGTGCTCTAGGACGTGGCGTCGTTAACTGAGAACAAGTCATTTGTTTAAGGAAAAAAACGGTACTTCCTGTTAACTATGCCATCGCCCCAAAAAGTTAATAGCGATAAACTGCCCTTCGCTAATGACCTAATTTTTAACGATTATTAACGTTAAAAGGATCAATTTCACTAGCATGGATCCGGATTTTTTGGTACGCTTTGAAAAAATGGATCCAAATCCGGATCCCAATCCCGGTCAAAAACATTTATTTAATATTCAATAATTATTTATGCAAAAAAGCGCTTATTGTCTGCTAAAAGTTTAAATAATTTCGGATTCGAAGTTAAAGAACAAAAAGCTTTTTCTTTAAATTTATTGTTGATATTTGAGTTTAGAAAATATGACTTACTTTTTGTACGAAGAGACCGAAAAAGTTTGGCGACATATATCGTTCAAGGTTTAATTTTGTTTGTGCAAGCTGACCCCGCAAGCTATCAGAAACCTAGAGATAAATATTGAAGACGTATATTCTGAGTTGGGAACTGTTAAATGAGCGGGGATAGAACTCTCCGTACAGCTGTAGAGATTTTTCATCTCATCCGTTTAAAAGTTTTCATCAGCCATGGTGAGTACTGAGTATTGAGTAAGATAATACACCAAAAAGGCTAGACAGATATTTCCTGGTATTTTTATTTTTGTCCGAAGCGAAACATTAAAAAAAAGTTTTTCAGGAAATTAGCCTGATTTTTAGGAGGAAACTTAAATTCTTGGTTATAAACTATCAACGCCTATTTTTAATTTTTCCAACATCGAAAATCTCTCAAAACTAAATATTTTTGTAAATAAATACCTTAGAGATGGCGTGCATGAGAGCCTCCACCTGTGAGTCCGGACATGTAAAGGATGAGGAGAGAGTAATGTGAGGAAAGGAATTATGAGCTCCGTTCCAACCCATCAAATGACGAGATTTCTCCCAGAAAAGGCTCAACTCCTCCTTCAGTTCACCAACCTACACAATTATCAAATAACTAGCTGAAGGGCCCGGCATTGCCCCCTTGAAAAAAACACCCCCGCCCACCCAGGAGTGTCCACAAAAATTTCAGCCCATTCGGTCCTGCCGTTTGGCCAGCTATAGGCAACAGATTCATATGCACGAATGTCTTGTTTTATTATGTAGATTACTAGCTGAAGGGCCCGGCGTTGCCCGGGGGAAAAAATTTAAATAAAAAATGACGAAAAAAAAGTTTTTTAGTCCATAAGATCCCAATTCAGCCCAATCGGTCCAACAGTTTGGCCGGCTATAAGCAACATATATAAATACGAATGTCTTGTTTTATTGTATAGATTATATTTTACCGGGGTATATTTTTTCTTGGAAAATCTTTATTTCCCTACCCCCGCCCTTTGAAAATCATACTTTTTCGTTTTCCTAACTTAAAAATAATCAATTTTTTTATATAAGATGATGGATATCTCAACCTCATCCAGTCTTGATCAGACAAAGCTTTTGTAAATCGAACATGTCTCTATGTAAATGAGGAGTCCTTTGAAATTACGTCTACAGACACATTAGGCAATACGTAAAAGAAATATACGGCTTCTTTGAAAAAAAAACATAACGATATTTCTGATAAAAAAAGTAATACCGGGCAGAGATAAATGATGAAATCTCTCGGAGAATCTTCATCAATTCCAGGATCTTTCACGTGGGCCAGTAACCAATCTGCAGCCAGGCTAGCCCCACGGTGTCCAGTAGCAACCAGGGCCTAAATATTGTTGGTAAACAAGGTTTACACTTTACAGCAACCATGCAGCCAGGCTAGCCCAGTGGTGTCCAGTAGCAGCTAGGGCCTAAATATTGTTGGTAAACAAGGTGTACACTGTACAGCAACCCTGCAGCCAGGCTAGCCCCACGGTGTCCAGTAGCAACCAGGGCCTAAATATTGTTGGTAAACAATGTGTACACTGTACAGCAACCCTGCAGCCAGGCTAGCCCCACGGTGTCCAGTAGCAACCAGGGCCTAAATATTGTTGGTAAACAAGGTGTACACTGTACAACAACCCTGCAGCCAGGCTAGCCCCACGGTGTTCAGTATCAACCAGGGCCTAAATATTGTTGGTAAACTAGGTGTAAACTATACAGCAACCCTGCAGCCAGGCTAGCCCCACGGTGTCAAGTAGCGACCAGGGCCTAAATATTGTTGGTAAACAAGGTGTAAACTGTACAGCAACCCTGCAGCCAGGTTGGCCCAGCGGTGTCCAGTAGAAGCTAGGGCCTAAATATTGTTGGTAAACAAGGTGTACAGTGTACACTGTACAGCAACCCTGCAACCAAGATAACCCTAAGGTGTCCAGTAGCAAACAGGGCCTAAATATAGTTGGTGAACAAGAATTAAACTGTACAGCAACCCTGCAGTCAGGCTAGCCCAGCGGTGTCCAGTAGTAGCTAGGGCCTAAATATTGTTGGTAAACAAGGTGTAAACTGTACAGCAACCCTGCAGCCAGGCTAGCTCCACGGTGTCCAGCAATGTAATAACTATTTGTTAATTTATAAAAATGTATCTATCTGTAAAACTTGGGAGGACCAGCCAATCAAAACAACCAGAAATGGTTAGGCTGTAGCCCTGACTAGTGATTGTTTAGTTATAAATAGTAATATTAAAATTGTATTTTTTGTGATGATAGCCGAAATATATATCTATCTATCTAACCAGGCCTAAATATTGTTTGTAAACAAGGTGTACTGCAACCCTACAACCAGGACAGTCCTACGATGTCATTAACAACCACAGCCTAAATATTGTTAGTGAACAGTTTATTAACTGTACAGCTGTAATAAATATAGGATAACTCGATATTCTGTAAACCTGCAGTACGTTGTACATTATTTACTATCTGTGTTTGTAAACTTTTACATAAAACCCATTATTCATTTGAACTGCATTTCAAAAAATACGTAGCAGGATTAGCTTAATCATGTGATATAGATAATGATGTACATCTTAACTGCACATATTTCAACTGTGCTATAATACGCAACATGATTGCCTTAATAAATAAAGTCTATTAACTTAACTTGTAGACGTAATATATAAACCTCAAATACACTAGTTAATTTAGAATCTCTGCTTTGATGCAGTGTTGATAGTAATTTTCGTCCTCCTTGAAACATACGGGCTGAGATCTTGCCTTGAGAGTGGCATTGATCGATTAAGAGCTTGTTTGATAGCTACGTGTTTTGACATTGATCACTGAAGAGTTTGAGTCCTGGTTGACATCTATAGTTGACAGGTTGTACCTGGATATTTACTTGTTCGAGAAACTGTTATGGATTAGACATATACTACACAGCAACCCTGCAACCAGGATAGTGTCCAGTAACAACCAGGTTTAAAAATATTGTTAGGAAATAAGGTGTGCTGCAACCCTGCAACAAGGCTAATCCCAAGGTGTCCAGTAGCTACTAAGGGCTTAAAATTGCTCGTAAATAAGTTGTGAACTGTACAGCAACCCAGCACCCAGGATAGCCCCACAGTGTCCAGTATCAACCAAGGCCTAAATGTTGTTGGTGAATTAGTTGTATACTGCACAGCAGCCCAACCCTGCAACCAGATAGCTCCACGATGCAGCAACCAGGTCCAGTATATTATTAGTAAACAAGGTGTACACTATAACAGTACAGTGCACAGCAAACCCATGCAACCAAGCTAGCCTAAAGGTATTAAGTAGCAACCAGGGCTTAAATAATTGTTGGTAAATTATTTTTTCTACAATGAAGAATACACGTTTTAAAATGGATTGTATACCAAATTAAGAATTTTTTTCAATTTTAATTCTATGTTTACCTTCTCTGCCCGTTGTTTACTAAACCCCATCTGTAGAAGTGTATCAAGGGGCGTCAGATACTGACTAGTTATTATAGTAGGGGTTGGGTTCTTCCGAGGGGGTAGGGTCGCCATACTTTTACGATCTTCTTTAAATCATTATTTACAACTGAAACATAAACAATGTTTATGACAAAAATTCCAACTTTATCATCATTCTAAAAGCATGGTGGTTATTAATGCATATAATCAAGAATTGGCCTGATTGACGATTTCAAGGAAAATTGCTCCGCTTCCTTAACCCTAAACAGGCTGGGGGGGGGGCGTTTGGCGCCCCCCTTGTCGTTTTTTTCCTAGTACTCACATTTTTGACACTATTACCGTGAAATTTGTTGACTTTAAATAAATAGTAATTTAAAGAATTTTTTGTTAAAAAAAATATTTTTTTAAAATTTATATAGGGTAAAGCACAGGGCGGAAAAAAGTCCGGTCTGTGAAAAAACTCAAATCAACTTCTAGTTAGAATATACTCCCCTGTATTCACGGATTAGCTTTTATCAAACAAATCAGAGATATGGTTGGTGTCCATGGAGTCGTTAAAGGACAATAATAAATACTAAATAGCGTTAAAGGATTTTATAAGGTTCAACATGTTCCAAAATCAAAAATAAAATTACGTACATGATGTGTTTAAAAAATGTGTATTATACTGCATTTTATGTTCATGCAATATGAGATGTTTACCATCAGATTGACCTTTAGCGCGGTTTCTGTAAAATTGTAAATATAATTTACAGTCTTTACTCTGTATTCCACTCTCAGCGTGTTAATTACCAGATATATGTTTATTAATTTACTACGCGTTTTGTATTTTCGTCTCAAGTAAACTGAACAGCAAATCAGCTGACTGAGAAAGTGGCAGGTAACTATTATCTATCTATCTATTTACATATCTAACTTAAAAAAATTTTATGCCCGTAAAAGTTCAAGAAAAGCTGAAGTATGAAAATCTTCAGTTTTCTAAAAACCTAAAATTCAAAGATATTTATGAAATAATTCCAAGTTGTCTCAATATCTTTACTTTTTGCAGAAAGATAGTTCACTAGAATCATTAATCTAATAAAAGAAGGGAAAATAATATGTTTATCAAAATACAAAAAAAAAATATGCCACACCTATCATTTCATAAGACTGGGTAAAATAAAAATTTCCTTGATTAATTTATTTGAGAAACCAATTTTTCTTTAATTTGAAGAATGAAAAATACTTTACATTGCACATAATATTGGTAACAAAATAACCCTTTTCCTTCTTTCTTTCATTTTTTGTTTTTAATCTAATAATTTTGTTCTTTTTTGTCTCAGATAATTTGCCCCTCTTATGTCCCCCGTGCTATGGACCTTATAGACATGTGCCCCCACCCCGTAAAAAGAAAAAAATCTTATAAGCTCGCCTCTCCCTTAACAAATTCATGAATTCGCACGCCTCTGACCGTATTTTAGACCCCTAAGAAGAGAATTAACCAAAAGAAGGAATGAAAAAGGATTGAATTAGGCAAAAATTAGGGAAAATATGCCAAAATCTTATTCTTTTTAGGTTTACATAATATCATATGTAATAATTGTTTTTTTTTCTGTACATTTTTTAAAATGACACAATAAAACATAGAAAAGCATTTTCCCCGCATTTCACCGTTTTTATTGAAAAAATATAGGCTTTCCTGATTTTATCTTCTTATTTAAAGTTTTTCTGTTCAAACTTTCGTTCGACATCTTAATTGTGATTAATTTTCTGGCCTTAAATAAAAATGCGCCAAAAAAATGTCTCACAATCTATGTTTAAGCTTGACCTAAAAATTAATTCACTATTGCTGAAGAAGATTTCATCACATTCATATACAGGGTGTCCCACGAAACATGACAGTATGCAGGACGACTTGAATGTCGTCTTGATTTTTGATATAATTTGCTGCGTTTATTTGTCAACCTAATTTTAGAAGTAAATTTCTAGAGATAATAATCACAAAATTTCCCTTGTCCTGCCATTTCCAAAATGTGGTCTGCCTTTTTTGTGCTTTCAATATTGCCCGAGATATGAAGAATTTCGTTCAGATTTCGACAATTTTGCTTTTATTTAACAAAATTGAAATCTGAACCAAACTCTTTATATCTCCG